GCTATTTTTTATGGTTGCCATGAGGATTACATTTAATATTCTAAAGTTATAACATTCAAATTTGAATTTATGCCAGTTTAAATTTGTTAACATAGAAAAACTCTGCTCCTGTAATAGCTCCATGATCTCCTCTTTTGGTTGTTGTTAGCACAAAATCACATCTTTATACATTTTCCTGTTCTAAAACATAAATAAATAATTCTTTTAAATGTATTAGCCTTTGAAATGATATAGGAAAGAATATGGAATTACAAACTAAAGTTAAAATAATGCTAGCCTTTAAACTAATATTTTTCTTTTAAGTATTAGTCTCTTAAATCATTCAGATAACAAAGAGTGGAGTCACTTATCATTGTATAGTAATAAATGCTTTTATAATTACCCATGTATTTACCTTTATCGAGTTCTTCTTCATGTGGCTTTGAATTAGGGGAGAGAGAGAGAGAGAGAGAGAGAGAGAGAGAGAGAGAGAGTGTGTGTGTGTGTGTGTGTGTGTTTTAATTTATTTTACCCTGCAGTACTCCCTTGAGAATTTCTGTGTGGCAGATCTAGTGGTAACTAACTCCCTCAGCTTTTCTTTATCTTGGGACATCTGAAGGTGGGATTTTAAAAAATCTGGGACCATCTCCCTTACTTTTTAAAAACAGTTTTGCTGGTTATAGGATTATTGGTTGACAGTTCTTTTAGCACTTTGAATATGTTGACCTGTTGCTTTTTGACTTTTAAAGTTTCTGATGAGAAATCTCCTAATCTTATTGATGATCCCTTGTAGGTGTTGAGTCATTTCTCTCTTCATTCTTTCAAGATTGCCTCGTTTTTGTATTTTGAACATTTGGTTATCAGATGTCTTAGTGTGGTTCTCTGAGTTTATCTTACTTCCATTGAGCTTCTTGGATGTTTATGTTCATGTCTTTTATCAAATTTGAAAAGTTTTGGGTCATTATCTTTTCAAATAATCTCTTTGCCCCCTTTTCTCTCTTTTCTTATTTTGGGACTCCTACATATGTATGTTGGTTTGCTTGAGGGTGTCCTATGGGTCCCTTAGGCTCCGATTACTTATCTTCAATCATTTTTTTCTTCCTGTTACTCAGATTCAATCATTTCTATTGTTTTATCTTTAAGTTAACTAATTCTTTCTTCTGCCCACTCAAATCTGTCTTTGAATCCCTCTAGTGAATTTTTGATTTCAGTTATACTTTTCAGCTACACAATTTGTTTCTGGTTTCTGAGCTTTTTATCTCTTTATTTATATTTCTGTTTTGTTTATATAATGTTTTCTTGACTTTTCCACAACTTTCTTTAGGTCTTTGCACATCTTTAAGATAGTTGTCTGTCTAGTAAATCTACTATCAGTTCTTTTTCAGAAACAGGTTTTATTTATATTTTTATGTAAATAATTTGTAGAGATGGGGTTCTGTCTATGTTGTCCAAGCTGGTGTTGAACTCCTGGCCTCAAGCTGTCCTCCTACCTTAGCCTCCCAAAGCACTACATTACAGGTGTGAGCCACCGTGACTCATTTTGATTTATTTTTTCCTTAGAAAGGTTCATACTATCCCATTTCTTTATATGCCTTATGATTTTTTTTGCTTTTGAAAAATGGACATTTGAATCTAATAATGTAACTCTGAAAACAAGATTCTCCTCTTTCCCCAGGGACTGCTGTTTTTGTTTTTTTGATTGTCATAGTCTGTGTCTGTGCCAAAGATAAGCCTGAGATGGAACTTAATGTCTTCATAGGTCTTTTCTAAGCCTGTACCTTTCACTGAGCATGTATGGTCACGTTCTAATTTTCTCTATATGTGCAGTTGCTTTTGAATGTCCTAGTCTATTACATTCTCCCAAAGGAGTAAAAAGAGAAAAATCAAGGGGACTAGGAAGGAAAGGGGTGATGGCCCTTTAGGTCTGCTGGAAGTCACTTTAGCCAGAGGAGCATGGGCCTGCAAATAGTGGAGCTAGGTGTAATGGACACATCCCTATTTGTCTGCACCTCTGTGATCCAAAGTAGTGATTTTCAGTCACAGGAAAGATGTCTGAAATTTGGAGGCAGTTCTTTTGGTCTCCCTTGGCATGTGTATGCTGCTCCAGGAGTATGTGCACAGCTAGCTGCCTGCTATTGAGTGGGGGAGGGGGGAATAGGGAGCTGTTATTGTATTAAGTGCTGATGTTGACCAATGTGAACTACAGTTTCCCATTCAAGCCTTTCCTTGGAAGTTGCAGACCTTCAGTAGATACCAGAGTTGTCAAAATCATTACACACCAGACAGCTTTTGCCAGTGCAGTTATTGTCTAGGTGGAAAGATTGAGTTCTGGTGCTTCTGAGTCTGCCATTTTCTCAGAATCTTCTCTTTCTCATGTGCTTTTGCGTATTGTCTGTTTATTGAACTGTATTTTAGAATCTCTATTATATTTAATGTACATTCTCTTTCTTACTATTTTTGTATCTGAACCATTTCTGTGTCTGCTTTTACCCTTGCCTCTCATGATCATGTGTCACATTTTCTTGCTTATCTATGTGTTTTGTAATTTTTTCATGTGAACTACATAAAAGACAGCTGAGACTGAAGTCAGTAAACTTACCTCCAGGAAAGGGCCTGTCTCTTCTTTCAGTCTGTTGGAGTGAGGTGCTACATGAGGCTGATCTGTGTTTGTTATAGGTCTAATCTTTTGCAACAACTTTACTTTGATTGAGTTTATCACTACTTTAAATATTTTGAGGTTAAGGTTCAAGGTATCTTTCACAAGGAAAATTGAAGAGTGGTGAAATGCTGAAGATGTCTTTGTGCTTTGCTTTGAAGCTCCAAATCTTCTGAACTGAAGGAGGACATGTTCTTCTCTGTCTGAGTGCTTTCAGAGGGATATCTCCCAGTTCTCCTTTCCTCTCTGTTTCACTGCCCTGCCCCCAGTCTTGGGAGGTAAGCTGTCTTGTGCTTGGGGGAGGCTTCCCATAGTTCACAGGTTCATTCTGTCAGTTCTTTTCCTCTTCTCCAGCCTTTGGTTTACTCACTCGATTCCCCTGTGGGAATCAGTTGATGGATGAGTGTTAAGTCTTTGCTACATGGAGCTCCTTTTAATTTCAGTTTATCACTTTAGTTTATATTCAGTCACTCAAGGTTTGGCTGGTTTCTCCTTACCCTGTCTAACATAGATTCTTTTTTCTCTTGTATCTCTGCTAGGCATCCAAGCACATCTTTGAGTCTTTTCTGTCTCATGAAAGTGTTGTCACTTTCTGAAAACTAGTTCATGTATGTTTCTTTTCACCCTTAATTGATTTCTTTTTTAAACTATACTTTTGCCATTCATCTGGCTTTTTTGGGCTAATGTGAGAATGATTGTTATCTTGTGCACAACTTCTACTTAATATCCGAAGTTAAAAAAAATACTGTGTGGGCTGGGTGTGGTGGTTGCTCAGGCCTGTAATTCTAGCACTTTGGGAGGCCGAGATGGGCGGATCACGAGAGTTTGAGACCATCTTGACCAACATGGTGAAACCCCATCTCTACTAAAAATACAAAAATTAGCTGGGCGTGGTGGCACATGCCTGTAATCCCAGCTACTCAGGAAGCTGAGGCAGGAGAATTGCCTGAACTGGGAGGTGGAGGTTACAGTGAGCCATGATCGTGCCTCTGCACTCCAGCCTGGGCAATAGAATGAGACTACATCTCAAAAAAACAAAAAACTTTGTGATACTGCTTTCCTCAATAGAGAATACAGCTTCATCAACCTTGTATTTCATATAATATTAATTATAATGGTATATTACATTTATTAAGTATTAGTTACCTGGGTGAATACTGTCCATGAATCATCTCATTTAAAACCCACAGACTTGAGAATACATAATATTGTATTATCCTAATTTTCTAGTTGAGACCCTAAGCAGGTAGGTCAATAAGACATGGCCTGTTATAAACACTTTTGAACTCAGGATGTCCATCTCTGGAACCCCGTTTGCAAATTCACATCCAAAGGTGGGGCAGGTGTATAACATAAGTGAGTAAAGCAAATGGGGTATAAGAAAAATAACAAAGCAGGTAGCATGATGAATGACAATTAATACTCAGCCTAGATACTGGCAAAAAACTACAGGGTAGGTAGTTCTGTGACAAACTTTCTTGGAGAATATATACCTCATTTAAAGACGATGGTCATTTCTCAGCTGTAGCTAATTGTAGGTCCAATCTTCTCTATTTTCTGGTATTTTCAGTAGAAGCCAGAAATCTGTATTTTTCACATGAAACTTCTTAGCTTTTACATGTCGGTAGCTGGTTTAAATAAAAATAAAAGGCAGTGTGCAGACATATATGGTGAATTTTTTTTTTTTAATTTTTAAATTTCAAATCTTTGTGGATACAGAGGGGGTTTATATATTTGTAGGGTACATGAGATGTTTTCATCCAGGCATGCAATGTGTAGTAATAGCATCATGGAAAATGGGATGTCCATCTTTAGAGCGTTTATCCTTTGTGTTACAGATAATCCAATTATACTATTTTAGTAATTTTATGCTGTACAATTATTACTGACTGTAGACACCTTGTTGTGCTATCAAATACTAGATCTTCTTCATTCTATTTTTTTTAAACCTATTAACCATTTCCACCTCCTCCCCAGTCCACTACATAGTGATTCTGAAATTAAACATGTCCATAGGCCCAACCTGTTACCTGGGCGGCCAGTTTTTTATCTATGTAATAAGGTCTGAGCTCTTTTAAACTGTTAAGACATGCTATCTCTCAGTGCTTAGTTTCATGTATGTACTAAATAGATTAAGGAAGTGAAGACCCTTAGATGTAAGCTATACACACAATTCCTAGATATATATATTTTATCTGAAACCCCAAGTTCTTCATCTGTCCTAAGCAATAAAGTTCTTGTATAAGATATGTCTCACATTAAGCTGATGCTTACCTGGAGTTGATGCTTCAGGTATTAAGAATGCTTAGTTTATTATTCACTAATCATAACTTTCCCTCTCTTCTCCCTTTTTTCTGTGATGTAGCTTTCACTTTCAGAAGAACAGAATGAAGTAATGAAAAATGGCTGTGAATCTAAAGAGCTGGTCTACCTCGTGCAGATTGCTTGTCAGGTGATTTTGTGGATGTATTCTCCATTTCATATGAAATTAAGAATTAGGTTAAGTGATAATTAAATTTCTTTCTATAATGTGATTGGCCTAAAGGATTATAACCCACAGAAAAATACTTATATAATACTGAAATGAGATTATGCAATAATGACTATTGTAAGAAAATAAATGGTATTTTAAAACGAAAGTAAATATATTCATACAATACCACATGGAATGCAGAGTTGAACATTGAAACTTGCATGTCTCCTTTTTGCACTTTTAGAAAGTTCCTAAGGGTTTTGACACTTATAAGTAAATAGCAATGACTGTGATAATCAAGATGTTTTGTTTTATTCTTTCTCACAGTCACATTGACATTTCTACATGTTCTCAGAGTTAAAGCAATCTATTTAGAAGGATTTGTTTTATAGATATTTAATCTGTACCCTTAAGTGAAAATACGTTTATTCAGACTAAAGGAAAGATGTTTATTGATTATTAGAGTAAATGGGTCAGCTGTTGATCACACGTTATTACAAAAGAGTAGATTATGTTGTCTCTGCTTCAGAAGCACACTTTTTCTAACCAAGACTTTAAGTTTCCCTTTGGTGTAACAGTAGGATATATGCATGTTTTTTGTAGCTTGTTATTTCTTGACTTTTAATATTAGAACTTTTTTGAAGGTTAAGATTATGATTTGCTGTTAATGAAACTTAAAATACATCATGTGTAGCATTGATTATTTCCTCCATCATGTAAGCACTTAGTATAGTTCTTTTATTCACTTATTCTGCATTCTTTGAGCTTTTTGCCTATTGGTGAATTAGTCATTGTAAAGAAAGTGTTTAGGAGAAAGACTTTCTTCTATACAAAATTTTCAGCTTTCTTTGGTAGAGAGTAAGATATGAGCATTTATATTTTTTCTCAAAAAGTATTACTCATGTACCTGAAGTTAAATGATCTGAAAGTCCAATGCTTTTATCATTTGTGATATAGTGAAGTTTTTAGTTCTGGTCACCTTAAGGAAAACCTTTCAGAATTAAATACGTTTACTTTTATGTGTCAGAGTATAGGATTGGAAACCAAATTTTAGCTTGTATATATACAATACTACTCACATATCACTTACATATAAGTAAGATGGCCAAATTCACATATTGTTTACATATGTTTATTGTATGTAACCTCAGTTTCTTTAAGGATGTAGGGAAGCTCTTAATCACGGAGTTTCATATTTCATAAAATGCTTTCATTTGGTGAGTTAATTTTTAAGTGAAAATATTGAGTACATTTATGATAAGTTATTACTAATAGTTGGATGAAAGCCATATCTTTTTATCTAGAGTACATCGTTGGTATGTCAGGAATGAATTTATTAATCCCTCTACTACCTCTTCTTCTCACCATTAATTTCCGTATGCTTGGAGAATGCAAATGTTCTGATTCTCATGAACAAAACATAACATCAGAAATATCTGTGCTGTTTTTTTTAAATGACCTTCAGAAGGCCAGCAATGGTATTTTGGTACCAAATATTAAAATGTGTACCAAATATTAAAATGTGTATATTCATGTACAGTATTAGTGACCTAGATAAATAGGTAGTTTACTGGTGTAAATATCTTGTCAAACTGCTTAAAAAATTTCATACTACTTGGTATACCATTTATTATTATTAAAGTAGTAATTTAGTGCATTGTAATAATACATTTGCACCTGTTCTTTGCCTTATCGTTTGTAATCATTGATACATTCCCATAGTTTACCCCTGTATTCTTGCCATATTGTGTTAGCCATGAGCCATGTTAAACTAGAATCATGCTTTTTTATCACTGAGAGAGAAAAAGACACACAATTAGACCTTCTAATTTTGCAAATGAGGCAACTGATGTCCAAATTACTGAAGTGGCTGTCCTAAGCTGTGTTGAATGTTAGCAGCGGGGACTACTGAGGATTTCAGTTTCTTGACTGCCAGCTTTTTCTGTGTTTCCTTGGAATTTTCAGTCTATAAAAAATTTGAGAAATTGCTTAATCTTCAGATAAGATCATCGTTATACACTGATGTAATCTGTTTTAGAAGCTACTTACTACAACTTGTATATCTCTGTCAGTTTCTACTTTTTACTTGACATTCTTTTTATTTAACCAAAATTCTTGGTCCTTCATCTTACTCCTTTCTTCTCGTGTTCTGTTAGCTTAAAAAGTGACAAATCGAATGGCTGTAATCCATTTTTCTTTCTGTAAGTTAAGTGATACTGATTTCTTTCGGTCTTATCTTGGAAACTTTGAAATGTGTTTATGCCTGCCCTTAAAAGTTTTTATTTCTTTCAAAATTGTGAGCCCGGAAATGTAAATTGTCTTCCAGTTTACATTTGGAGCCTTCAAATCTGGGGCCCCTAAGGGAGCACTGAGGCCAACTGGGGACTGTAATCTTAATGATAGCAAAAATATTTAAACAGCAAATACAGCATGGACCCAAAGCAGTGGAAGTGTGTCTTAGCTGAATATTAACCCTGGATGAAATTCTCTCTATGACGTCTTGAAGAATAGGTTTTTAATGCTATAACTGAGCCCGCAACTCCCTCTCTTTTATAGTAATTATTAGAATTATATGTTGTGCCGCAGATATCCCCTTTCTTATCTTTTTATTCTGTTCTCTGAGTAAACAAACAAAAGTATCCGTTGGGAGAACAAACAGATCAGCTACTGTGGATGAGGAGCGTTCTCAAGAAAGTTAATGTATTTAGTTTGAAATTAATGGAAATTAATAAAAATTCTAGTAATCTCAGGAATACATCACAATAGATATAAAATTTACTAATTTTAAAAGGCCAAAATTGGCCGGGCGCGGTGGCTCACACCTGTAATCCCAGCACTTTGGGAGGCCGAGGCAGGTGGATCATGAGGCCAACAGATCGAGACCATCCTGGTCAACATGGTGAAACCCCATCTCTACTAAAAATGCAAAAAATTAGCTGGGCATGGTGGCGCGTGCCTGTAATCCCAGCTACTCCGGAGGCTGAGGCAGGAGAATTGCCTGAACCCAGGAGGCGGAGGTTGTGGTGAGCCGAGATCGCGCCATTGCACTCCAGCCTGGGTAACAAGAGGGAAACTCCGTCTCAAAAAAAATAAAAAGGCCAAAATTAGATAAACCCTGACACTAATTATATTCAGCTCCACTACACAGAATAAAACATTATGAGTTTAACATCAGTGTCACCAAATCCTAAAAGTATTCCATCTTCTATTGATTTATTCCTTAGCAAATAAGCATTAGCTTTTAAATGGTCACTTTAAAATGACAAATTTAAGCCCAGCTGTGGTGGGAATTTATTCTACATGTGCTGTAGTAAAAATCCTGTTTTTATCTTTTCCTTCTGTAAGTATAGTTTTGTTGGTATAAGAAAACTTATTGCTTAATAAAATACTTAGGATTTTAATGTTTCACTGTCCACTTTGTAGTAGTTGACATTAATGGTTCCTATGCAAGTTAGAGTGTATTAACTACCTTTGTATTTTAATCATAATTCATCAATATTTAATAGTTTGGCTTTTCTGAAGATCATGTATTTTATAAATATATACAGTAACCTGAAGGCTCTTATGGTGGGTAGGGTAATCACTTGGTTTTGGGGGAATGCTTCCTTGCCTCAGAGTATCTCCTTTATTCTAATGTTCTCACAGTTGAAATTCCATCATCAAAAATACATTCCTTGGTAATAAATAACTCCTTTTCCATCCAGGGCTTAGAAAATGCTATTAACTATAGGAGTGAGGGTACATATTAACATTTATAGAACATATGTGTATGAACAAAATATATAGGCAGATTTCCAGGATTTTTGTTTAAACCTCATAATGCTTCTGTGAAAGGTAGATGTCATTATTCCCATTTCGTAGATGAGTAAACTGCTGTTCATTGATGTTGAGTAACTTGCGTACATTTCTGTATTTAGGATAGGGCCAGGCTGAGATTTAAATCAAGTTTTTCTTTCTCTCTTTCTCTCTCTTTTTTTTTTTAATTTTTTTTTTGAGACGGAGTTTTGCTCGTTATCCAGGCTGGAGTGCAATGGCGCGATCTCGGCTCACCGCAACCTCCGCCTCCTGGGTTCAGGCAATTCTCCTGCCTCAGCCTCCTGAGTAGCTGGGATTACAGGCACGCGCCACCATGTCCAGCTAATTTTTTGTATTTTTTTTAAAGACAGGGTTTCACCATGTTGGCCAGGCTGGTCTTGAACTCCTAACCTCAGGTGATCCACCTGTCTCGGCCTCCCAAAGTGCTGGGATTACAGGCTTGAGCCACCGCACCTGGCCCTCTTTCTTTTTTCATTGAGTTTCATCCATGTAAAAAGATAATTGATAGCATCCATTGTTTTTCAGATAATCCAGTGACAAAGGCACTTCCAATGACATGAGCAAAGACAGTTCTTAGAAAGAACAGCATATATTTCTAAAATTTGTCCATTTCTTTCCTTTTTATTGTTACCAAGCTAGCTCAAGCATGATCTCTTGTTTGGGCTGTTTGCATCCTATAATTTGTTATAACCTTATAAACTGCCAGAATGGTATAAAGTGTAAATCAATAGATTCCCACTCTAAACATGGGTTTGCATGTAGAGCTAAACCCAAACTACTTACCAAGGTCTATGAAGGTCCTACACAATCTGGATATCCCTGCCTCTTCTATCTACATCATGTCAGGACAATCTCTCCTCACTCCTGTGCTAAACCCAAACTGTGTACCAAGGTCTATGAGGGTCCTACACAATCTGGATATCCCTGCCTCTTCTATCTATATCATGTCAGGACAATCTCTCCTCACTCCCATGCTCTGGTCACACCATCTTTCAGGCAGTTCGTAAAAGGGCTTAAGTTCTTTCCTGTAACAAGGCTTTGAACTTTGATCATCCCATGACTCTGTTCATGCTGTGATCTTGCCACATCTGGAACCTCTCAGTCTTTAGGACTCCATTTTCATAACACCTCCTTAGAAAGGCTGTGTCTGATCCTATGTGAAG